TTTTTGTAATTTCTGTCTCTTTATTGATATTGTCTATGTGTTGAGACATTATTCTCCTGGTTTCCTTTTTTTTCATGGTGTTTTGTTTTTTGATTTTTGTTTTCTCTTTAAGCATATTTAAGATAGTTTATTAAAGTTGCTGCCTATGAATCATGTGATGCCTCAGGGACAATTTTTTTTAATTCACTTTCTCCTGTAAATGGGCCATATTTTCTTATTTCTTTTTGTGCTTTACATTTTTTTGTTGGAATTGGGCATTTTGAATATTCTAATGTGGTGACTCTGTAATGACATTCTCCCCCCTCTAGAATTTGTCGCTTCTTGCTGCAGGTTGTAGTTGTTTATTTGGGGACTTTAGTCTAAACTATTTTTATAAAGACTCTTGGTCTTTGCTGGTCTCTGAAGCCTCTATACTTTTAGCTCCGTCGTCAGCTGGTTGTTTGACAGAGATTTCCACAAACACCTGGAGCAAAAGAGATAAAAAAACTGAAATAAAAAAAAGTGCCCTCACCAGCCCTTTGCAGGCTGGCTCTGTGTTGGAAGCACTCTTTCAGTGCTTAACCAGACTCTTTCCAGCTCTGCCTTAGCCCTCGCTGCCTGCTTGTGCTGAGCCCAAAGAGCAGCCTGAGAGAAGAGCTTGCGGGATTCTCTGGTCCTTTCTGTCCTGAATGTGTGCCTGGATTCTAGGTTCCCCACTTCATGTAAGAGCTTCTTGAAGCCCTTATTCTCTGGGATTCTCACCCCCAGCTTTTCCTCGCAGGCTATCAGACAGCCTGTTGTTTGCCTCAACTGCTAAGTGCTTCCTGAGCTGGCAGCAGCTCATACATTCAGCTTCCAGCATGTCTGCAAAACCACTTCTCAGCCTGAAAAATCTGAGTCTTTTGCCCAGAACCCACAGAAAGGTCAAGGCTAAGGGTTCACTTGGTTGCCATAAGCCTTTGAGTATCTTCCAGGGCTCTGGGCTCTGGTTGATTCCAGCAGTTTTTCCTGGGTTTTTTAGTGTTTCCTTAATGGTCCCTATGCCACATTTTCACTGACCTCCTTCATTAGGATTTTAACCATTTTTTTAAATTGTTGATAGGAAACTTCTCGAATTCAATATGTATTTGCTAAAAACATTTCTTCATCTCATCCACTTTATTATCTCAAAAAAAAATCTTGACAGAGCTTTTTCTTTTTTTTTTTTTTTTTTTTTTTTTTAGAAGAGGAAGAAAGAGAAAGAGGAAGAGGGAGAGAGGATGGGGGTATTGCTTTATTGCCTGGGCTAGAATGCAGTCTAAATATGGGTATGCCTATAATTGTCCTTAATAATGGAGACATGAAAGAAAATGAGGGAAGAGAATAGCAAACAAGGAGCCAACCAAGATTTCTTTTAAACTTCTAAGTTGATATGATGTGGTACTGATAAGAGTGTATATTTTGTATATTTAAAATGGAGAGTTCTATAAATGTTAATTACATTTATTTGTTCCAGATCTGAGTTCAAGTCCTGAATATCGTTAATTTTCTGTCTCATTGATCTGTCTAATATTAATGTTGAAGTCTCCCAATATTATTATGTGGGAGTCTAAGTCTCTTTATAAGTCTTGTATGTCTGCGTATTCCTGTATTGGGTGCGTATATATTTAGGATCTTTAGCTCTTCTTGTTGTTGCATTGATCCTTTTATCATTATATAATGTCCTTCTTTGCTTCTTTTGATCTTTGTTGCTTAATTGTAACTTCTGCTTTTTATTTATTTATTTTAGCTCTCTGTTTGGTTGGTAAATCTTTCTCCATCCCTTGTTTGGAGTCTTTGTGTATCCTTGAATGTGAGATGGATCTGGATGCAGCATACTGATGGATTTTGGTTTTTTATTCAAATTGCCTGTCTTTGGATTGGGGGATTTAGTCAATTTAAATTTAGAATTAATAATAATATATGTGAGTTTAATACTGCCATTAGCTGGCTATTTTGTCCATTAGTTGATGTAAATTCTTCATTATATTGATGCTCTTTTTGATAATTTTTTTAGAAAGGCTGATACTGTTTGTTCCTTTCATATGTGTAGTGGTTCTTTCAGAAGCTCTTGTAAAGCAGGCCTGGTGGTGATGAAATCTCTGAGTGCTTATTCACAAAAAACTTTATTTTTCCTTCATTTGTGAAGCTTAGTTTGGCTGGATGTGAAATTCTGGGTTGAAAGTTCTTTTCTTTAAGGATGTTGAATATTGGCCCCCACTCTCTTCTGGCTTGTAGGGTTTCTGCTGAGAGATCTGCTGTAAGTCTGATAGGCTTCCCTTTGTGGGTAACCTGACCTTTCTCTCTGGCTGCCCTTAGTATTTTCTCCTTCATTTCAACCCTGGTGAATTTCACGATTATGTGCCTTGGAGTTGCTCTTCTTGAGGAATATCTCTGTGGTGTTCTCTGTATTACCTGGAGTTGAATATTATCCTGCCTTACTAGGCTGGGAAAATTTTCCTGAATAATGTCCTGAAGCGTATTTTCCAGCTTGGATTCATTCTCTTTGTCACATTCAGGTACACCTATCAAGCGTAGATTAGGTCTTTTCACATAGTCCCATATTTCTTGGAGACTTTGCTCGTTCCTTTTTATCCTTTTTTGTCTAATCTTGACTTCTTGTTTTATTTCATTGAGTTGGTCTTCGACCTCTGATATCCTTTCTTCTGCTTGATCAATTCGGCTGTTAAAACTTGTGCATACTTCACGAAGTTCTCGTATTGTGTTTTTCAGCTCCATCAATTCACTTATATTCCTCTCTAAATTGTGTATTCTTGTTAACATTTCGTCAAACCTTTTTTCAAAGTTCTTAGTTGCTTTAGATTGGGTTAAAACAAGTTCTTTTAATTCGCAGAAGTTTCTCATTATCCACATTTTGAAGCCTGCTTCTGTAATTGGAACACACTCGTTCTCCATCAAGCCTTGTTCCGTTGCTGATGAGGAACTGGGATCCCCCGCTGAGGGAGAGGCGTTCTGGTTTTGGGCATTCTCAGCCTTTTTTGGCCGTTTTCCTCCCTTCGTTATAAATTTATCCATCTGTGCTCTTTGAATTCACCGTCTTTGTAATTAGGTTTCTGAGTGGACGTCCAACTTACTGATTCTCAGCGCCGAAATCTGAGCAACCCACTGCACCGACCAAATCAGCGGCGTTAAGACTGATGGTGCTTTTCCAACTCTGCACCAAGAACCATCGCTCCAAGGCGCCGGCAAAACCGCCTCGCCGGTCACAAGAGTCGCGCTGGCGACCCGTGGGGCTCCTCCGCTGGGAATCTCCTAGTGCGTGAGCAACAAGAATTCATGTGAAGGTGTGGCGTCCTCTCATTCTTTGCGCTTTCAGTGGGAGCTACAATCCCGAGCTGTTAGTGATCAGCCATCTTGGATCTCTCTCTTAACAGAGCTTTTTCATTTTTCTCTGTCTCAGCGAAGTGTGGTTCCCATTCAGGCCCTCAACTCTTTTATTTCCCTCTGTTTCTCTGGTCATAGGATGTGTTTCTCATCTCTACCTGGTTCTGCACCAGTAGTATGCCTTCATTTTTAATTTTAAAATTTGCCCACAGTCATTTCTTAAACTAGAAAAATAAGTATTCTAATTAAAATAACAAGTGTTTCCATTTTATAAGTATGATTTACACAAGTATCACTATAATTCATGCTGCCTCCGTAAGTATTCGTGTTACAGTGTTCCATTCATGTAGAGAAAAAAATCATTCAACTCAGTCTGTCACTATCAGTTAGACCCGTGGCATATGAGGTAAAGTGCTAGGCAGAGCACATGCCCCCGCAACACACACAACACAGCGCCATGCGTGACGCAGCAGCTACGGCGAGAGACGGTGCCCCCAACACCAGTGTAACGGAAACAGAGCTTACACTGCTTCCATTTTAAAATTTAATTAAAAGTAAAGAAAATGTTAAACGCAGCCCTTAGGTTCTTGGTTGAACTCGCCCCACTGCAGTCTCCATTGCTCTGTGTAGCTCAGGGAACTTGACTGGAGCGCACAGGTCAAGAGGCACGAAGAGCTGAGAGTCACTGTGGTGGGAGCAGGGGAGGCACCGGCCTGTGGTCTGACCCGCGCCAAGCATCCGTCATGAGGGCCAGCAGGGGTGATGTGCAGAGTCCAGGCAGGGCCAGGAGGCCAAGTGTCGGTCCAGGGCCAGAGACGGGCTCTCAGGTGATCCCAGAAGGTTTGCTGTGGGGCCTGCCTTCCACAGCATTCGTGTGACTAGGAGAAAATCAGCTTTTAGAAAAGGCAGCTTTTCCCACCTAACAAAGGAGTTATGCATCAAGTGGAGTAAGACCTTCGAGGGCCAGGTATTAATTGGTTAGCTGAGGACAGGCTGATGCTGCTTCCTCGCTCAAGGTGGAAGAGTCAGAGCAAAAAGGTGACTTAGGGATGGAACAGGAGAAGCAGGAGAGAAGCAGTTCTGAGCCTGAGGGCCTGGAGCCCAAGCCCCCGAACGCCAGACGTACTGGCCACTCAGCCTCCATACCTGTGGCATGGGCCCCTGCCCTGGCAGGCCCCGGGCACATAAGCTGCGTTCCACTTGACTTATGCTTTTACTGTAAAATCCTCTTCTAGGAATCTATCCTAAGGAAATAGTACAAGATAAGGGAAAAGATGTATGTGCAAAAATATTTATCATTTATTATTTTTTACTTTTAAATTCTTTTTTAGAGACAGGGCCTTGCTCTGTGGCCCAGGCCGGAGTGCAGCAGCACCATCATAGCTCACTACAGCCTCAAGTTCCTGGGCTCAAGTGATCCTCCTGCCTCAGCCTCCCAAAGTTCTGGAATTAAAACTATTTATCACAGTGCAAAACTAGAAACTTAAAGATACAATGATAGAGGAATAAATAAATGATTCACTTCCATAAAAAGAAAACATCTTTAAGATTAAAACCACCTAGGTGATTATTAGGGTGTTTCCAAAGTCAGTGTTGATTCTCTCTCTGTGCCTCCCTCCCTTCCCCCCAATCCCTTTCTCCCCGCTCCTCCACTTCAGGAAGCTGCACTGCACCAGGAACTACATCCACCTGAACCTGTTCCTGTCCTTCATCCTGAGAGCCATCTCAGTGCTGGTCAAGGACGACGTACTCTACTCCAGCTCGGGCACATTGCACTGCCCCGACCAGCCGTCCTCCTGGGTGAGGCTACCCCCACCGCAGGGTCCCACCGTCTTGTCCCTTTGTCTCTGTTCCCCCTTCTCACGATGATGATGTCTCAGTGCTGGCACAGGGTCACAGCTGAGAAACAGAGAGATTGGCAGAGAGGCTGGGGCCAGAGCAGGCCCCGTCGGCAGCTGAGACATGGAGGTGGTGCTGAGGCAGGGAGTGTGGGGGGTCCCAGGTGCCATCAGGGCTGCGAAATGAAAGGGCCCTGAGCGCTGGCCCCCACAGCCCTAGCCTGAAGAAAGCCACACCCTTCCTCACGCACATCTGGGTTGGGAAATCTTGGCACAGATGAACACACACAACGCCGTTGCTTTCTGTCTGAATCTCCTGGATTCTGAGCGGTAAATGCTCTGTGTCACAGGTAAATTCCATGCAAAGCCTGGTTGCGCAGCCAGCTGCAGGTCTGTCAATGTCTTGGGTCCAGCTCTTGGATAGGAGGATAATCTTAATTATTAGTGCCTGTAAATGCAGTACAGGGTGTTTCACTCCACCCAGGCCCTTCTCCCTTGGCTGTATTTGTGGTGGCTGTTGGTGGTTATTTAGCACCTAATCAAGTCAGTTTCTTACAGCAAGTGCTGTTGAGTGCCTGCTACATGCAGGCCATTCTACCAAGCACATCCCTGCTGGCCCAGAGCGCTCCACATACTCGGCATCTCTGAAGGAGTCATACCCCTGGTACCTCACTCTTGATCTAAAACCCTTGCTACCAAGTTCTTCTGAAGGAGCCAGGAGTGCTGAACTCTCCTTCCACATTCCACGCAGATAGGCCCGTAAGCTGGCACAGTTGCTCAGTCTGAACAGACTTAAATTAACTTAGTTTTAAGATAGTAAAGCCCTTTATAACTGCACAGACATCAGCTGTTTCGTAGGCTGTTGTCTTCATGCAGAAAATGTGGTTCTGGGGATAACGCGGTGCATGATGCATGTGAATCAGATTTGCTGTGATAACAAAATGAAAAACAAGATTTTTCACCTGGCAAACCCTGTGCCCCGGTGGAGCTGGGGCCCTGGAGTTCCTGTGCTGGGACAAGGGCCTCCCTCCATGTGTAACCGTGGTAAAAGCCCGTAAGAAGTATTAAGACGGTCAGATTCTCTCTCACCGAGAGGGTTTCAAGCTTCACTCTGCAGATCTCCCTGCCCTTAGCTCTTCATGAAGAAAGCAGTCACCCTTGACAGATGCTTGACAGACACTCAGAGGACCACTGGGACCCACGACAGACCCTCGATGGACCCGTGACATCGAAAGCAGTGACCCGTGACAGACCCTTGGGACCTGTGACATGGAAAGCAGTGACCCGCAACCGACCCTTGACAGACCCTCAGGACCCCCGACAGACCATCAGGACCCATGACGAGCCCTCAGTGGACCCTGATGGATCCTGGAGGACCTGCAACATAGAAACTGGTGGCCCTTGACAGACTCTCAGGACCTGCAACGGACCCTCAGCAGACCCAGCAACATGGAAAGCAATGGCCCTCAACAGACCCTCCGGACCCGTGATGGACCCTCAGCAGACCCTCAGTGTAGAAAGCAGTGACCCATGACAGACCCTCAGGACATCTGACAGACCCACAGGTCCCGCAACAGACCCTCAGTGGACCCCAACAGACCCTGGAGGACCCCAACAGACCCCAGAGGGCCTGCGACGTAGAAAGTGGGACTGGGAGCTCTGCTCTGGAGCTCTCTGCTCTCTACTCTCCCTGCCGCTTCAACCCGAGAGGAGCGCCTGGAATCTCCAAGCCAGGGCAGGTTTGAGCCAGTGTGGCTGCCCCGGTGGGAGGGGCTGGACCCCTGTCTGTGGCGTGGAGCCTTCTCTGAAGGCCAGGCTGTTTCTGTGGACACCGTGGCTGAACACTCATTCGCCTTTGAAAGAGCAGTTGCCCCATTTCACCGATGAGGCAACGGAGCCGAGGGAAACCCAGCAACCGGCCCAGAGCCTCGGGCTCCAAAGCCCAGGAGCACGTGGGGCCCCACGACATCCAGCAGCGTGGGTCCCGGCTCCTGGAGTTGAGCTCTGTGAGGACAGAGGGAGGTGCTTCGCCGCTTGTGCCAGGTGCCCCGCGATTCCTGTACCAGCAAGGGGGAAATGGAGGCAAAGGGAAGGTGTGCGAGCAGACACAGGAGGGAGGGGAGGCGCCTGAGGCCAGTTGGAAGGTGAGCTGGGTCTTCCCTCTCGCTGTCCCCTAAGAACCCTCAGACTTTGAGTGAACAAGTCAGCCAGCAATATAGTCAGACCTCGGCATAAGGAAAGGGAAAAGTATCTTTCCTTCCAGTTGCATTTTTTGGATTTTTTTTGTTCCCCGCTGGCTTCACTAAACCACGATTATTCTCCCAAGCAGAACACCTGGGGCAGCCCCCCCAAAATAGGTTCAGGGTCTTTTTCTCAGGACATTAGGATCAGCCAAAAACATGAAAAGTTTTCCTCCTGACCCCTTCCACGTGGTCTAGACAGAGACACAGTTTCCTCTAGGGTCCTGGGCTGCCCGGGGCTTGGAGCAGACCTGCTGTTTAGTCTCACAGTGGCCACGGCAGGTTCTATGGGACTCCTAGAAGGTTCTATGGGTTCTATGGGACTGCCTGACATGCATGTGTGCACCTGCGTGTACTCACACTCACACAGAGGCTCCCCACAAGGCCACAGGGCTGAGGAGGGACCAGCTGCTGACCGGGCACCGGGCCTTGGTGCGCCTCCTGGCCAGGTGTTCTCACATCAACGCCAGGGTGGCAGCTGGCCCTGGAGGACCCCTTGTGGCCTGCCGGGCCCCTCCTGCTGCGCTCCAGAGCCTGTGTGATGTGGTTTGAAGGTCACGCTGTGGAAGATGAAGTCCCTAGAGGCCTTGCCACTCCCCAGACCGCCAGTGCTCACAGAATGTGCTTGTTTGGTGAATGGGCACATGGGAAAAATGCAGAGATGTTTTTCTTCCCATTTTAGAAAGAAAATGGAAACTTCACACTCTTTCTGCATCATCTTTGCCATGTCAGCAGGACGTCCCAGAGCCCCTCAGGCTGGTGCCTACTGTCAGGCAGGACACTGCCCCTCGTGTGGCCTGACGTCCCCCATGTAGCCCTTCCCCAGCACGGGGCCTGCTCTGCACTTGATTTTTCTCTTTTGCCACTGCAGACATCATTGCACATGTGTCTTTATGGACTCGTGTTCTTATTTCTGCCAGGTGGGGCTCACCGGTGAGGCTGTCGGCACAGGGTGTCTTGGTCCGGGCATGCTGCTGTCATAGATGGCAGACATTTACTTCTCGGTTCTGGAGGCCCAGCGTGGAGGCATGACCAGATTCGGGTCTGACTCCTCTCTGTGTCCTCACGTGGTAGAAGGGGTGACGGAGATTTGGGTCACACTCACATGGTGGAAGGGGCAAGGGATATTGCTGGGGTCCCTTTACAAGGGCACTAATGGCATCACAAAGCTCCACCCCCACGACAAGGCCCCACCCACTAACGCATCCCACAGCAGGTGAGGCTTCAACACATTATTTTTTTGTTTTGTTTCTTTTGTTTTTGAGACAGACCCTCACTCTGTTGCCCAGGCTGGAGTGCGGTGGCACGATCTCAGCTCACTGCAACCTCCGCCTCCCAGGTTCAAGTGATTCTCATGTTTCAGCCTCCCAAGTACCTGGGATCACAGGCAGGTGCCACCACACCCAGCTAATTTTTTTTTTTTTTTAAAGAAGGGGCTTCACCATGATGGCCAGGCTGATCTTGAACTCCTGGCCTCAGGTGAGCCACCCACCTCAGCCTCCCAAAGTGCTAGGATTATAGGCGTGAGCCACCGCGCCCGGCCTGGCTAATTTTTTTTGTATTTTTAGTAGAGATGGGGTTTCACTATGTTGGCCAAGCTGGTCTCGAACTCCTGACCTCAAGTGACCCATCCGCCTTGGCCTCCCAAGGTTTGGGGATTACAGGCATGAGCCACCGCGCCTGGCTGCATGTGTATTTTTACATTGTAGTAAATACATTTTGCTAGATTGCTTTCCAAAAGGCTGAGACAGCTGACAGCTGCACTTAGGATCACAGCAGAGCCCGGAGACCTGACTGGTTTTGCCGTTTTGCCTGTCTAGCAGGCATTGGCACTGCCTCTGTGGCTCTCACACTCACTCTGGGGCAGGGCACTTGCTGAGAACTGGCATCTTTCCACAAGCTGGTCCGGCACTCTAAATACCACATTCATCTGTAATATCAGTGTTGTAAAAATTAACCATTTGTCACTTCCATTGTCAATATGTTTCCAAATTCATCATTTGTCAATTGTATTTTTATGGTATTTTTGCCATCTAAACGTTTTTAAAGTTTATGTAACCAAAAATTGCCTTCTATCCTTTTAGCATTTCTTGTTTTCCTTTCGGATTTCCCATCTTGATTAAGAGGTTTCTATTCTAAGATTGTTCATTTGTATCTTGGTTCATCTGCAATTTACTCCTCCTTGTGTTTAAGATCAAGTCTTTTACCTAATGAAAAGACAAGTTGCATTCAGATGAGTCACCACATCCCAGAATCCCACCGCCCAGAGATTTTAAAACTTGATTTCATTTTATTCAAATGAGCGGCAATGAGTTACAAGTTGACCTGCTGTGGCTCTCTTGTGTTCATGGCTGTGTCATCACGTGTGTCTTTCATGTAAGAGGCTCTGTCCTGATGCCCAGGGCAGAACTTGCTGGGACCTGAGTGTCCATTCAGCAGGTATTGACACTTGAGATCTGCGTGCAGGCACTCGGCTTGCCCTGGTGGCACAGACGATCAATAAGGGTAACTCTCACCTGTGCACTGCTTCAGACAATGAAGCACCTACCCTGTCATGCTTAGGAAAAGGAAAAGGCAGAGGAAGGCAAGGAAGATCCAGAGCACCGGGGCGGTCAGGGGCAGCCTGCAGGGCTCAGCGGCTCTCAGGACCCTGGAGGCCAAATTGAAAGCCCACCACATGAGTGTATAAGTATATCCACCCATATATGTGTATAAGTATATCCACCCATATATGTGTATAAGTATATCCACCCTTATATAAGTATATCCACCCATATGTATGTATAAGTATATCCACCCCTACGTATGTATAAGTATAATCCACCCATATATATCCACCCACATATATGTATGAGTATATCCATCCATATATAAGTATAATCCACCCATATATAAGTATATCCACCCATATATATAAAAGTATATTCACCCATATGTATGTATAGGGATAGCCATCTGATGTATGTGTATATATATCCATCTGTATGTGTGTATATTCACCCATATATATAAGTATATTCACCCACAAATATGTATAGGTATATCTATCTGACATATATATATATATAGCACATCTACCTGTACATATGTGCTTCCTACATATGACTCTATCTATGGATATATATGAACATAAATGGAAATGAAAATACTATCCTTTTTCAGCACACTTTATATAAGCTCAGTGATTAAACATAGCAGTTTCATGTTTGCTCATAAGGCTGAAATGCCTGGTACATTTAGTTAGATGCAGGTCTGAGAGATTAAAATAGATTTATTTTATTTGTTCTTTCCCAGTGAAAATCCTTTTTAAAACCTCCTCGGAAAATATTTTATTTGGCAGATTTCTCTTGTTTTCCCCCTTTTTAAGGTTTAATTGGGTTACCTAACATTAAAACCAGTTTTTTACAATTGAGGAACTTACAGGGTTGTCAAAAATTTAAAAGAAAATTTGGGGGCCTGATGTGGGTCCATTGTTTTCTCTTCCCAAGCGCTGCTCACATGAGCTGCTAGTGAGGGAAGCTGGGAGGTGCTGCACCCTCCACCTGCACTCGAGCTCGAGGGCGAGGGGCTGCACCCTAAGACCCTCCAGCAGTGAGTGAGCTCCTCTCAGGGAGGGCTGTTCACAATTGCCTACGCCGAGTTTATCTTTCAGTGATCGCGCCCTGGAGTCGCGTACGTACAGGGCCTGGTGCTAACAGAAGGCGTTCCAGGCCAGCGCCCTGGCCACTGTGTTAATCCCTTCCCTATAGCACCCGGTGTCTCCTCCTTCCTTGGACGGATACCAAGAGCCCTGTATCCTGGAGTGGCTTGCTGTGAACTGGTGTCACCTAACTGGGTCCTGCTCTCCTCTGTTTGTGGTTTCCAGGTGGGCTGCAAGCTGAGCCTGGTCTTCCTGCAGTACTGCATCATGGCCAACTTCTTCTGGCTGCTGGTGGAGGGGCTCTACCTCCACACCCTCCTGGTGGCGATGCTCCCCCCAGGAAGGTGCTTCCTGGCCTACCTCCTGATTGGATGGGGTAAGCGTGCCCCTTCCCACCCACAAACCCCGCAAGTTCCTAATTCCCATCCCATCTGACCAAACAATGCGAACTTTTTCAGCTCAGAAAAATGCTTTGCTGCCCCCATAGAATGTATGTCAGGGTCATGTTATGAAGAGTTTTTCTAGGACGACTGGAGGCTCCTATGAACAACATGTTAATATTTCTGGTAACCAGGAACCTAGTCTAAAATGCTCCCATTCATGGCCCCTTTGACCCCAATTCAAATGGGCTGCTAACAAGTCACAAAACAATTTCCTCCTCCCATCTCTACCCGGTTCAGCTTTCACTGAGGGTGGGGATCAGAGAGGAGAGAAGTTAACCACACGAGGTAGTGGAAGTCTTGCCTTGCCCAGGGTTGGAAAGGGGTACAATCTGGGACATCCTCGTGGAGGGGATGAGGCAGATGCAGCCAACAGTTACTTGGGTGGCCACAAAATCAGTGAATGTATCTCCTCCGTGACACATTTACCTCCGTGGCCTCCAGTAATAACACTTCTGTACAGAATGGCAAGTCTCAAAGTGTCGGATTCTCAGCTCTCAAGCATGTGTGTAATTATCTTCACTGCTTACGAAGGCATGAGCATAAACTTGTAAATATTTACAAAGACTTTAACAAGAGATTGCACTCCGTATTCCCGGGAGAAAGCATGTCCTTGAGGGTTCTGCTGGTGAGGGCACCCATCTGTGTGCATGCGTGGCTCCGCTCTGCCTGTGTAACCAGGCGTCTCTCTGCAGGCCTCCCCACCGTCTGCATCGGGGCGTGGACTGTGGCCAGGCTCTACTTAGAAGACACCGGGTGAGTCCATGCCCAGACCATGGCTTCAAAAACGGGCAGGGCAGCATCTGGCAACATGAAGTCTTTTGGAAGCCAGAAGGTTACCTGGTTGGAAGGACAGGGAGCGTCTGCGGGAAGCATCTGGGAGATTCTTGGGGAGGAATGCTGGGAGGTTGGAGTGTTTGAAGGGAGCCCATGTGGGAGACAGAAAGTGAGCCAGGTTTTACAGCACAGTTGAGATTGGGATCAGCCAGGCAGAGACTGGGGCAGCCCCTTTGGTGGGCACAGCAACGTCCACAGAAGAAAACCAAGTGCCCTGCAGGTTGTTTAAAGTATGGAAGGTCAAGTGATGGTGCTGAGGGCACCCTGCACGCTATTTGAAGTGCGGAAGGTCAGGTGACGGTGCTGAGGGCACCCGGCACTCCCTGCAAGTTGTTTGAAGGTCAGGTGATGGTGCTTAGAGCACCCGGCACTTCCTGCACGCTGTTTGAAGTGTGCAAGGTCAGGTATCGGTGCTAAGAGCACCAGGCACTTCCTAAGGGCTGGTCTTGGCTCATGCAGCCCAGAGCGCTTCTGCCCTGTACTCACCCTGAGTGAGACCATGGCCCAGATACCGGCACACGTGACTCCAGCACAAATCTCCTGCCTCATAAAGGGCCTCAGTGTGCATCAGTTATCCACTGCTAGTAACAAATCACTCCAACATTTGGTGGTTTGAAACACCCACCTAGTCTAGTTACTGTGTGATTCTGTACCTGAGGACCTGGGAGGACTCAGCAGGGGCACTTCTAGCCTTGGGGACTGCCCCCCAACCCGGTCCCCTTCGGCCGGCTGCAGGCTTGGGCCCCTTGTTCCTCTTCAGGCCGGTCTGAGATTGCACCAGCTGGAAGACTTCTGCCCTCAGCCTCCGAGGGAGCTCAGAGCCCAGGCCTGTGATGGAGACTCTGCTCTGTGGGAGGGCTGCAGACTCTCAGGACAGGGTGTGGACCCTGTGGGGGAATCACTGAGGCATTTTACCAGCCAGGGTCACAGCTACCCCATGTGCTACGAGATGGAGAGCCGGCAGCTCGCCCACTTCGGTCATTCTAAGGACATTTTGAACCGTTTGCCACACACATGCACACCACTCACGAGGTGGAGGGAAGCTAACTTTCAGGAGGAAGGTTCTTTGCTCATGACATTGGCTGGATGGAGCCAACACACGCACTCATGCTCAGAGAGGACGGCTTCAGCGCCGTCCTGCCTGGTCCCGGCTTCTGGGACCGAGCCTGTGTCCTTCCTCCCTATAAGTAGACTATCATTTTGAGGTACATAAAATGAAACACAATCACTCACTGGGACAGACTCCTGTACGATCTGTCAGTGTAGAGAAATGACGCTTCCGTGGTGCGGGGGGCAGGCACACTGGGAGGGGCACCCGGTCCCCCAGGCGGGTGCAGGTGTGAAGCAGCCCTCATTTTCCTGCGCCCCTCTTATGAGAGCGGTCGGCGGTAACCTGATTTCCCATCCCTCTCACACAGTTGCTGGGATACGAACGACCACAGCGTGCCCTGGTGGGTCATACGCATACCGATTTTAATCTCCATCATTGTAAGTAGCCCCTGTTGAAACGTGGATTGTCTGTGCAGTCACACAGCTGGGCAGACAGCAGGCCCCCTATCCTTTATTAAATAGACATGACCCGTTCCATTCAGCCATCCCAGAAAAGGACCTCTCGAGGCTGCGGACCCCCAGAGGCAATTCCCAGGAAGGAGGGAGGGACTGCGGGAGGAGGGGAGGTTGGAAATCAGGTGGACTTCAGGGAAATTAGGTCTCTGTGAGTCCGTTTCACAAACTTTTTATCTCTTTTGTGCAGGTCAATTTTGTCCTTTTCATCAGTATCATAAGAATTTTGCTGCAGAAGTTAACGTCACCAGATGTCAGCGGCAATGACCAGTCACAGTACAAGTGAGTGTGTGTCCCCGGCCTGGCCGCCCTGGTGGGGATGCTGTGCGGAAACCCCCCAGCGCTGCCAGGAAGCCCTTGGAAACCCCAGCCCCAGGAAGCCCTGCGTAGTCACCATGGTGACTAAGCCTCCGCCTCCACCATGCCTCACCTCGAGGCTGGGCCCCAGGGCTCTGCTCCTGCCCAAAGCTCAGAGAGGCCCTGGGCAGCATTTCCCTGGTGACTGTGAAAGCTGCCACCCTTTCTTTTATTTCAAGGCCAGTAGAAAGTCCTCTTTAGTGAGCTGGCTTGTTTAAGCTTCCGCCCATTCGCATGTTATACAATCCGTCTCTCCTTGGCCACACAGTATTTTGATTTTACATTTAATTCTGTCTTCCTGCTCGGACCACATAGTCCATGTCCATGTGTCTACTGCCAGCCCTAATACCAGGCCTTGTAGTCAATAATTCAGAATGTGTTTCCTCCCTGTGTGATTACATGAGATGGCATCGTGATTGCCCTTCAGTAGATGAAGACAGGGCAGACGTTTCACCCCCAGTCATCCAGCTAATTCATGATGATCTGGGAAATCTCTAAAGTAATGCAAAGACTCCATAAATTTATATCAACATTTATAAAGAAAAGGTAAAATCCAAAAATTCAAGTATAAACGAAACACTGGCTTGGTGTGAAAGTGGCTGGCCCAGCCAGAAGGCACCTCGGGCTCAGACTGACTGGGGCTGGAAGGGCGGCTGTGCTCAGAGCTCCTCTGTGGCAGGACCCCTGCTACCCAGGTCAGGAGGGCGCCTGGTCTGCGTTTCCCTTTACTCCCGCCTTAGAAAATAGGATGGATTTGGGGAGGGACAGTTAGGCAGGAGCATGGCCAAGAGCCCCAAGGCTGGGTGCAGATACTACTGGTGCCTGAGGGAAGTAACTTTGCCACTCTGTGCCTCAGTTTCCTCATCTGTAAAATGGAAATCATAATGTCACTGACAGAGTCCATGTTTGCTGGATATTTGCTGCCTGGCACCAGAATATCGTGAAAGAGTTTAGTCAACCAGAGAATCTAATTCTGCCATGTGGCATCTAAATCCAGGGAGTGTGTATCTCTGCCTGCCCACCTGAGGGATGGGATTCCACATCAGACCCTGCGTGGCAGTGTGACCTCGTCGTCCCTGCTCTGGGGAGGCTGATGGTGCCTGCCATGGCAGAGAAGCAGGAACAAGATCGTTGCTGGCCTTCAGGCAGAGCTTTGATTTCCTGTGAATCTTGTGTAGTTTCTTCTTTAGTTCCTTCGTATTGATTCTCTGGGAGTGTTTGTTAAACACGCTTGGAGATGGGTGCTTTTATTTTGGAAACAGAATTAAGTAGGAACAATAAAATCTGTTCTCGGTCCAGGACAACAGAAAAGGCCGAGACACCCATGCAGCCACCAGAGGTCTTTCTGTGTAACTCTCTGGTCACAGAAGTAGCAAAACCTCCCTGGACAGGGCCAGGAGCTCAGCCACAGGGAGGCCTCTTTTCCAGCAAACTGCAGAAGAGTTAATAGTGGGAATTAGGCTGGTTCTCTACTGCTGACTGAAAAGCCTGGCTCCCATGGAGCCCAGCTGTTATGAGCCGCGGACCCAGGAGCAGGCATCAGCCTAATCATTTAAACGTTCACGTGGCCACGATGGAAGCTGGCCTTCTCGTCCCATGTGGCACCCTCACAGGCCTCGGGATGGGCTGGGCACCCAGGCAAGGCCCCTGCAGGCCATGGGTCACTCACAAGGAATCTTGCCCCTGGTAGCCATGAACCCTGGGGCACAGCATGTGTCGTTGTGGGGGAATTTGGGAGAAATGAACACTTTCTGGAATGTGTGTTCCCGGGTCCTGAGTGCTGGATCTGCACAGGGCCTCAGACATAAGCATAAAGGAGCGGTGGCTTTTCCTGCTAGCCGGTGACGCCAGCGGTGGCGAGGGGGTGTGGGACCCCCCTCCACGCCCAGCTGCCCGGTCCTAAGCAAGACCCTGCCAGGCATGAGGAGGGTCCGTAGTCCAGCGGCTGAGCTGGCTCCTCTCCTTCTGTGCAGGAGGCTGGCCAAGTCCACGCTCCTGCTCATCCCACTGTTTGGCGTCCACTACATGGTGTTTGCCGTGTTTCCCATCAGCATCTCCTCCAAATACCAGATTCTGTTTGAACTGTGCCTTGGGTCGTTCCAGGTAGGTGTGAGGAGGCGGCGGCCCCCCCACAACAAAGGGGGTCCTGCCTGACCACCCCTTCTCGTTGCAGGGCCTGGTGGTGGCTGTCCTCTACTGTTTCCTGAACAGTGAGGTAAGTCCGCGGCCACCTTGGAACCAGGCACAGGTACTCGGTTGGTTCCTGAAATGCTGCCCAACCCCGGCTGTGGCCCCCACGTGCGCCTGTCTTCTGTGGACCAGTCCCACTGCCCAGGCCCCCACACTCTCTGTGTCCCCATCAGAGCCCACAGCGACACAGGCAAGCCCACTTTCTGGGCCCAGCTTCCAAACCCCCTCGCCCCGTCCTTCCGTCCACCCCGAGCACCATCGACTGCTGTCCTCTCAGAGCCTCCCGGGAAAGCTCCCGGCCGGGTTTAGACAGAATCTGTTTTTTCCCCGGTCAGCATCTTGCCTGTGAGTCCCAGAAAGCCGGGGCCTGGACTGGGGTTGGGGCTGCACAGCATTTCGTGAGTCTCTGTTGACAGAGCTGGGAGCTGAGCAGCGTCCCCCTGGCCCTCACCTGGCCATTCAGCTCCCACTCCCTCCAGCGTCTCTTCCCCAAACCATTTCTGTTTCTGTCCATCTGACGAGGACACGATGTAGCCCCACCATCCACACAGGGTGAGGCAGGAGGGGAAGCCGGAGGTTCGTGGGCCGTGCTCCTCAGAGCACACACACCCCCCTGCCCGGGCTCACAGGTGCTCCTGGTGCCCTCACCTCCCCAGGTGCAGTGCGAGCTGAAGCGAAAATGGCGCAGCCAGTGCCCGACCCCGTCCTCCAGCCGGGATTACAGGGTCTGTGGCTCTTCCATCTCCCGCAACGGCTCGGAGGGCGCCTTGCGGTTCCACCGAGGCTCCCACACCCAGTCCTTCCTGCAGACGGAGACCTCTGTCATCTAGCCCAGAGCCCCTCCTGTCGGGCGCAGCGGGAGCCCAAGGTCCCGGGGCTGAGGCAAGGCTGACGCGGGCTTCCCCCTTCCAGAAGCCCGGGCACCCTGTCGGGCAGGTCAGCCCAGTCCTCATGCAGTCAAGCTGGTTGTCCGCCAAACCCCACACGTGGAACTGGGGTCCTGTTGTCATTGACTCGATTTAGACTCCAGCATTTAGGTAACTTTGTTCAGCATGCGTTTCAGCCATGTAGTTGGATCCATTTCGAAGAGAACAGGGAAGCCAAGGAGGAAGTGTGGAAATGCAGTTGCATGGCTCAGCACGGGCCTGGGCGACCACAGGTGACGTCCATGCCATCTCAGGGCGGCCTCCCAGGTCCCACAGGGCAGCCCCCTCGTCTGCAGGATAGAGGGAAGCCGGTCAGGGCCCCCCTGACATTAAGACCAGGATAAATCAATGCGAGGGCAACCTGCCTCCCTCCTGGGGTTCCCACCTGGCCTGCCAGAGCCCTTCCCCACCCAACTCTTCCCACAGGGCCCAGCACAGCCTCCCCCACAGGGCTGTTCCGCCTCCCTATGGAAAGTGGGCTGAGAAGACCACCAGATCCAGAGAGCAGGTCATGAAGGAGAGGCGCCCTCCACGTAGGTGTTGAGAGGCCCCTCAGCAGCCCGGGCTCTGCCTTGGGAGGTCACTTTCCACCCTGTGAGGGCCATAGAGCCCAGCACTCAGCCTCAGGCCAGCCACAGCCAGGCCTGCAGCCCCTGGTGATGGGGTCAGGTGGGGCACGAGAAATAGCTGAGTGGTAACCGAAAACCTATTATCTTTTTAACAAAAATAATCTTAGAATCATTTCTGTCCGAATGGAGAATTATTTTAACAACATATACAACTATTTCAAGGCCTCCTCCCCAGAGCTGTTCCTCCAGGCGAAGGGTGACGTGCAGACTTGGAGAGGGTGTCTGGAGACGTTGCTGAGCTGGCTGCAGAAGGGCAGGGACATCTGGGCGCAGTCTCCATGCCTGTGACGTGCCCTGGTCCCCGCAGTGCCTGGCAGACCTCAGCAGGCCACCCACTCCTAGTCCAGGGGCCTCAACAGCGGGGCTGGGCTGTTTTGAGTGCATCTGACTCTGCTTTTCCCCTTAAAAATGAATGTCTTTTTCCCATGCGTTGGTGCCATCACAGACCCCAGCTGGAGTGAGGTGCCAAAGGTCAGGACAGCTGTGCTGGGAGGCGGCCACAGGGAAGTTCACGCATCCTGACGGCATCACCCCAGTAAAATGAGGCCGGACACAGGGGCTGTTAGGATGGCAAACCAGCAGTGTCCAGAGACCCCTCAATCCCCGATGGTCAGCGCTCCATCCTGCATGCCCTGGGCCTCACCAGCCATGCCCCATCCTATATGCCCTGGGCCACACCAGCCACGCCCCATCCTGCACTCCCCAGGCCATGCTGGCCATACCACTCTATTGCAATGGACTCATCCTTGAACTTCTGAGGAGAATGAGCCCAAGGTTAGTTCGGAGACGCAGGTGAGGCGGTCAGAAGATCTAGAGAACAACTAACCCACCAATTCTGGGGGCTGCAGAGGCTCCATCAGGGACTGGTGTTGAGGAGCAAATGACCCAGGGCAGGTGGCCAGGAAAGGATGGTGGAGTTTGTGGAGTGCAGTGAGAGGCTGCAGACCCCTAGTTCAGTCCCACCCATCAGCTCCACCCCGCCCCGCTGCTGCTTCTCCCTGTAGGGTTTGGGAGACCCACCCCCAGCCTTCCCTGGCTTTAAAAGGACAAAGAGGGCATCCCCCACCCACTCAGGGTTTTGAGGAAACAAAGATTTGTGGTAACTGAAGGTATTGGGTCAGTGACCAGGTGTGGACACTGAGCTGTGACCCAGAGGGGACGCGGAGGAAGTGGGCATGGCGATCGTGGTCAGGCGGTCACCGGGCACTGGTTGTGTGGCTGACCATCAGGTGGTTGGATGTGGGTGGTCATCATTCTTCAGGTAGGTGCAGGGGACAGTGTTCAGCAGAGCTGAGGACCGGTTCCTCCTGCCTGGTAGAGGGACAGGCTGCCCGCTGTTCCTGGCAGATACCTGGTGAGCAGGGGATGCAAGACCTAGCAGTCAGCAGGTGTCTTTAACTGTAATCTTCTGTAGAATGTCAGACTCCTCCACGTGGCAGGAATGAGCTGTGTAAATACTTCAATAAAATCTGACTTCACATCTGCACGCTGAGTAAGAATTTGCTCTGACCAGACCTGATGCCCTGGGACACAGAGGACATGTTGGCCATGTTCATTGTGGCTGCTGCATTCAGCTGAAAACAGAGCCTGGATCAGGAGGGAGAGGGTGGGCAGGGTCCCGCCAGCCACAGTGCACCAGGGAGGATGCTGGAAACAGCCACCCATCCCTCAAGACAGTCACGAGCCCCTGTCAGAGCATCGCCGTTGGGGAACCTCCATCTGGCAGCTGACAGGTGAGCAGCACCCTGGGTAGGAGGCTCCTGCACACTCAGCCTTGTCCCACCATGCCCGACATAGCCTCTGTCAGCTCTACAGAGCCAAAAACCTGTTAATAGAGCAGGACTGAATGCAGGAGTGTGTGTGCATGCGTTCAAACAGTCCACATGCGTGTGGGGATGTGTGGGGGGTTGGGTGTGCACGCCTGTGTGTGGGTGTCTGCATGTGTGTGGGGGTGTGCACTTATGTGTGTAGGTGTCTGCAGGTGTGTGTGAGCATCTGCATGTGTGTGGGGGTGTGCACATATGTGTGTAGGTGTCTGCATGTGTATGTGAGCGTCTGCATGTGTGTGGGGGTGTGCACACTTGTGTATGGGTGTCTGCATGTGTTTGGGGGGTGTCTACACGTATGGGGTGGAGTTTACACATGTGTATGGATGTCTGCATGTGTTGGGGGTGTACACATGTGTGTGCCTGTATGCACACACATATGTGAATCTCTGTGTGCCGAGCCTTAGTCACATTTATGCTACAGGCAAATAAAATCTATTTCTAATGAACTCCATGCTCCACCAAATGGCTACATTGTCAGGAGGAATACAGCACTTGGCTAAAAGTCATGTCCCCAAGGAGTCAAACCTAGAGTGTGCCAGATCAACCAGCCTTTGCTGACTTTCCTAAGAGCAGAGCAGGTGGGAAGGGGGAAGGGGCTTGGCACACAGCCCTCCAAGGAGCACACACCCGTCCAGAGAGCACACACCACTCCAGGGAGCACACACCCCTCCAGGGAGTACACACCCCTCCAGGGAGCTCACGGCCCTCCAGGGAGCACACACCCCTCCAGGGAGCACATATCCCTCCAGGGAGCTCACAGCTCTCCAGGGAGCACACACCCCTCCAGGGAGCACATGGCCCTCCAGGGAGCACATGGCCATCCAGGGAGTCAGTTTTGTCTGACTCTGAGGGGCTTAGTACCCATTTGCCTGAGGTGGAAAAATATTCCAGCCACTGGAGGAGACTCAGCCCTGATGGGAGGGCAGAGGTGCAGGCCAGGAGCCACACTGAAGAAGCCCCTCCTCCATCCACAAGAATAGATTCATTCTTTCTCATCACAAATGGCAGCTTTTTAATTGGCTATTTTTTTTTCAGGCTTTCAGATGACAGAAATCATATAGGATAGTTATAAAACTTCAAACTCTGTGCAAAGATTACACAGAAAATGAATTCCTCCGCCTGCCTCTCCCCTCTCTGGGGAACACTCATGTCCGCCCGAAGCAGGGTCCCAGTGCCTTCCTCCATCTGACAAACCATCTCCCTCCTGCCCTTTCTTTGGTTTCTTTGTGGGAATCAGGTTAAATTGTGTAAAGGTTCTGCAGCTTTCTGGCGCTGAGACAGCTCCTGTCCGTCTTTCCCATGTGAATGTGCACATCTCCTGAGATTTAACTGCTGCATAATATTCCACAGCCTGGCCTTGGTAGAATCAAATCCCTGCTGGTGAGCGTGTGAGTCGTTCCATGTTTACCCGTGTATTCCCTCACCGTGCACTCCTGAAAGGGGAGAGGTTAAAGGGCACGCAAATTTGCCTCAGGATGATGTTTGCTCTTCGGCTCCCCTACCCTCACCAAGCACCCTGTGGGGTGGGGTACATAGGAATCACTCACTTCCATTTACGTGTCTTGAATAGTTTCTTCAGAGGTTTTTTCTTTAACTCTGATTTAAAGCTGAGCCTCTGCCTGACATACTCACATCGCAGCTGCCTACGTCTCCAAGGGCCGCCTGGCACGTCTGTCCACGTGCCAGTTCACAAAGTCACTCCCGTTCCTGGGACCCAGGTTAAGGACGGGAGCTGGCAGCTCCCAGAGCCCAGGTGTTGTCTGCAGGTGGCAGAGGCCGGCAGAGGCGTTGCTTTGCTTGTGGGCCGACATCACAAAGGATTTAGGGCACCTTTTATACTGAAAAGTGTTCTTTGGAAGATGGAGAGAAAAAGGGCTCTCAGCTCCTTTGTGTTCTCTGAAGGTTTAATGAGGAGAGAGGAGCAGGCGGCAAGGGCGGCGGGGGGCCCACTTGTTCCAACTGTGGAAACAGACCCTTCCCAGGACACCCGCAGGCCCGTGAAGCGGGTGCCCCAGGGCTGTTACCGGGATGTTTTCTAAGCTGCTATTCAGTGCCTGGAACTGAAGAAGCAATAGGGAAAATCAACTATTAAAATATAATACAGAACAATGAGACCTGGTGGGACCAAGCTCTCCCTTTGAGATTCAGGGCGCTACACAGCCTGATGCATGCAGTTCCATGTGATAAAGTCTAAGAGAGCCATGAACAGGGCACCTCAGAAGCACAAGCTGTCATGATTTAAAAGCTGCAACTATGAATTCAGATGTTAAATGTGTGACTTCCCAATCACTAAATAGTTACTGTCCCTTCGGATTTAAAAGCACGCAAACCATGAAGCCCCACCGTCCCACGGCTCACAGTTGTGCAAATTTTCAAACGGCTTAGACAGATCACACTCTCCCAAACCTGTCAGCATGTGGTGGAGACCTGAGTGTTCATTCCCAACTCTGGAGAAGCTGGAGACGCTGGCATGAGCCCCGGGCCTCCAGTCTCTGTTGGAATTATGAAGAGTACCAGGGAAGGGGATAAGAAGGAAGCCATGAGAGGACAGGACTTCCCTCGGCCGGGTGGCGAGGGCAGGTTCAGTACAACAGGAGGGAGTAGAGTGGAGCCCCAAGCAGAAGGCAAAGGGGAAAGGTCACCAGGAGCACCC